CCAGCTACTTGGAAGGCTGAGGTGGAAGGATCGCCGGAGCCCAGCAGATAGAGGCTGCGGTGGCCAGGAGCGGCTACTGCACTCCAGTCTGGGCGACAGAGTGAGAATCCGACTCAAAAAAAAAAGAAACAAAAAAAAAACCCTGAAAACAACTGTTTATAGTACAGTTTGACAAATGTGTATGTACAACCATGAAACTTTCAGCGCAGTCAAGTTTTAAAATATTTCCATTGTCTGAAAACATTCCCTGCTACCTTGCTGTCCCTTCCTCTCTCCTCCACTGGCCTCAGACAACCGCTGACCACCTTTTTGCCCTTTGTAGCTTAGTTTATGTTTCCAAGAGTTTCATATGCATGAAATCATATAGTGTGTACCCTTTTCTATGTGTCTTTTTTCACTTATAATGGTAGTGACATTCATGTTTCCTGAATTAGTGGTCCCTTTTCAGGAGGATATTTTATTTTATTTTATTTTATTTGTTTTGTTTTTTATTTTTTTAATTTTTTTTTTTGAGTTAGAGTCTCACTCTGTTGCCCAGACTGGAGTGCAGTGGCACGTTCCTGGCTACCGCAGCTTCGACCTGCTGGGCTCTGGCGATCCTTCCGCCTCAGCCTTCCAAGTAGCTAGAACTACAGGTGTGCGCTACCACACTCGGCTAATTTTTTTGATTTATTGTAGAGATGAGATGTTGCCAAGTTGCCCAGGTGGGTCTCAAACCCGCCGGCTCAGGCAATCCACTCACCTCAGCCTCCCAAAGCGTGGGATTACAGGCTGAGCCACCGAGCTGGCTTATTCCCTCTTAAATCCTCTTCTTTCTCTCTCTCCTCGTCCCCACCAGTTGCTTCCTGTGTTTCAGCTTTGCAGGATTTTCTTGGAACCTGTTCCTTGGTTGTCTTGAATAGGTAGCCACCATATACGTCTCCATGGCTTTACTCGTTTGTTCTCCATGGCTTTACTCTTGTTTGTGTTAGCCTGTGATTAGCAGCTGCCTCCTTGTAGGCCACCAACCTCATGAGGTCAGGGGCAGTTCTGTTGCTGCCCAGTGCTGTGACTGTAGCGCCTGGCATGTAGCAGGTGTTTACTCTGACTGGGTGAATGAGACTTCCTCTTGGAGGGTCCCGTCATGGGCTCCTGTCATGCTTTCTGCATGTGTATGAGCAGAGCCCCTGTCTTTCTGGCGTTGACAGGATGAGCAGCTGAGGACCCTGGTGAGGCAGTTTGGACAGCAGGACTGGAAGTTCCTGGCCAGCCACTTTCCTGTGAGTACAGCCCCCCTTGTGGCCTCTCCCCCAGGGCTAGGGATCTGGGTGACCAGATGTTGTGCCTGGGACAGACTTTCCATCTAGACCCTCTAAAACAAAACCAGATGAAACAAAATAAGACCATTTTCATAGGACCTTTCTTCCCAAACCGGTCCTTGAGGCACTGTAAGATAAATATCACACAGCTGCCTCAGCATGCCCAGGGTCTTTAGCCTCTGAGACACTTGCGGCATGTTTGCATGTCTTCCTGCAAGTCAGGAGTGCAGAAATGCTCTGTTTCTCAACAGTGAGACTGAAACTGAGGGGAAACGATACTTTTAGCTGGCTTCATGCAAGGCTGGCTGGTGCCACCACGTCCTCGCATCCTCCTGATGATGAGGGGCCCTGCTGCAGCTTCTCTCACCCCAGATCTGCAGGTGTCTGGAAAGGAGGAGGTATGGTAGGACCTGCTGTCTTACTGCCTGAGTCCCTCAAGATGCTCAGGGACTGAGTCACCAGACCCATTTCTGCCCCCCTTTCTTTTTTGGGTTGGAGTCTCACTCTGTCGCCCAGGCTGGAGTGCAATGGCACACTCACTGCCACCCCAGCATCAACCTGCTGGATTCCAGCGATCCTTCTGCCTCAGCCTTCCGAGTAGCCGGAACTACAGGTGTGTGCTACCACACCTGGCTAATTTTTTTGTGTTTTTTTTGAGTTGGAGTCTCACTCCGTCACCCAGACTGGAGTGCAGTGGCCACTCCCGGCCACCGCAGCCTCGACCTGCTGGGCTCCGGCGATCCTTCCGCCTCAGCCTTCCGAGTAGCCGGAATTACAGGCATGCGCTACCACGCCCGGCTGATTTTTTGATTTATTGTAGAGATGAGGTCTTGCTGCCCAGGCGGGTCTCGAACCCACGGGCTCAGGCCATCCACTCACCTCAGCCTCCCAAAGGCGCGGGATTACAGGCTGAGCCACCGAGCCCGGCTCTGGCTAATTTTTGATGTAATATAGAAACAAGATTTTGCTAAGTTGCCCGGGTTGGTCTTGAACCCATGGGCTCAGGCAATCTACTCACCTTGGCCTACCAAAGTGCTGGGCTTACAGGCTGAGCCACCTAGTCTGGCCGCATTTCTGCCTCATTTTGTCATCTACCCTTTTCCCATGTAATTGGACCTGTTTAAGGAATAAAAATGCTCTCCCAGAAGAAAGCAGGAACCCCTGGCATACCCACAAGGCTCTTATGGAGTTAAAGACTCATGAGGGTGGCCCCCCCTGTGTTTGGACTATGGGAAACGGCTCCCCACTGGGGCCTGAATTTGCCCTTTCTTGTAACAGAGGGAAGCCATGTGTGTTCTGACAGGTAACTCTGTAGTGTGTGGTGGGTGTGTGGAACAGGACACCTCCACCTGAGATGTGGCTGGTCCCAGGTCCCTGAACCCAGTTCTCAGCCAGCGTCCCAGCCATGGTCTCAGAAGTTCTCACGGATTTCTATTCTCTTCCCAGAACCGCACTGACCAGCAATGCCAGTACCGGTGGCTGAGGGTTTTAAATCCAGACCTTGTCAAGGGGCCATGGACCAAAGAGGAAGATCAAACGGTAACTGACAGGACAGTACCTCGTGTATAGTAGGCCTTCACATGCCACCAGTGAATCTGGAGGCTGTGAGGCTGCACTTCCTTGTTGGTGGGGCATCAGTCTGAGTGTGAGTTGCCATTCCACCAGCTGGTCTGGACACTGCTGCTGTCCTGGCCCTAACCTCGCGGTCTCCAGGCCTCCCTGCTCATAGTTTGAGAACTGTTGAGCAGATTACACAGCTTCTCTTACACAGCTTCTTGGGCTCCACCCATAGAGGGGAGCAGCAGCAGTACTGAGCCGTTGTGAGAGCTAAATAAGTAATACATGCAAGGGGCTTGCACGGCCCAGCACGTGGTACGCTGTTAGCAAATGGCAGCAGCTGTTGTCCTTGGTGATCATAATGACCTCATCATGCAAAGGTCTTCACAGGCACAGGGCCTCACATGTGCCTTCTTTCCTTGGATCCCCATAGCAGTCCTGTGAGGTGGGCAGAAGGAGGAGTGATGAGCCCCATTTTCTAGGTGGGGAGACCAAACTTCAGAGAGGACTGGAATGCCTCCAAGCTCAGAAGAGACAGTGTTGTGGCTGTCCTGGGCAACCTCTTGGCAGTTCTTTCATCTCTTTTTTTTTTTGAGTTGGAATCTCGCTCTGTCGCCCAGACTGGAGTGCAGTGGCCGCTCCCGGCCACCGCAGCCTCGACCTTCTGGGCTCCGGTGATCCTTCCGCCTCAGCCTTCCAAGTAGCTGGAACTACAGGCACACACTACCACTCCTGGCTAATTTTTTTTTGATTTTATTGTAGAGATGAGGTCTCGCCAAGTTACCTAGGCGGGTCTCAAACCCGCAGGCTCATGCAATTCACTCACCTCAGCCTCCCAAAGGCGCAGGATTACAGGCTGAGCCACCGAGCCCGGCTCTTTCATCTCTGATATTTCTCCCAGTTGTCAGCCCAGAGGACACCATTCCACTGTGGTAGGCATGCCTCAGGGAAAAGAGGGAGGTGACAGGAACTAGGTATTTTAAAATTAGTTTTAAAATCACATAAAAAAAAAATCAGGCCAGCCTTGTGGCTCACACCTATAATCCTGGTACTTTGGGAGGATCACTTGAAGCTAGTTCAAGACCAGCCTGAGCAACATAGTGAAACCTCATCTCTACAAAAAATAAAAAAATTTGAACAGAGGTGGTGGTGTGCACCTGAAGTCTCAGCTCCTTGGGAGGTTGAGACAGGAGGATTGCTTGAGCCCAGGAGTTTAAGGTTATAGGGAGCTATGATTGCACCACTGTACTTCAGCCTGGGTGACAGAGCAAGACCCTGTCTTTAAAATATAAAAATAGGCTGGGCTTGGTGGCTCAGCCTATAATCCCACGCTTTGGGAGGCCAAGATGAGTGGATTGCCTGAGCCTGGGGGTTTGAGACTCACCTGGGCAACTTGGCGAGATATCATCTCTACAATAAAACAAAAAATTAGCCGGGCATGGTAGTGCGCGCCTGTTCTTCCAGCTACTTGGAAGGCTGAGGTGGAAGGATCGCTGGAGCCCAGCAGGTTGAGGCTGCAGTGGCTGGCAGCGGCCACTGCAATCCAGTCTGGGTGACAGAGTGAGACTCCAACTCAAAAACAAAACAAAACAAAAATAAAATAAAATAAAAATAGGCTGGGCTCGGTGGCTCAACCTATAATCCCAGAACTTTGGGAGGCTGAGGCGAGTAGATTGCCTGAGCCCGCGGGTTCGAGACCCCCTGGTCAACTTGGCAAGACCTCATCTCTACAATAAAAACAAAAAACTAGCCAGGCGTGGTAGCGCACACCTGCAGTTCCAGCTACTTGGAATGCTGAGGTGGAAGGATCGCCAGAGCCCAGCAGGTTGAGGCTGCAGTGGCCAGGAATGTGCCAATGCACTCTAGCCTGGAAGACAGTGAGACGCCAACTCAAAAAAAATAAAACAAAATAAAATATAAAAATAGGCCAGGTGCAGTGGCTCACGCCTATAATCCCAGCACTTTGGGAGGCCGGAGGTGAGAGGATTGCCTGAGCCCACAGATTCAAGACCAGCCTGGGCAATTTGGTAAGACCTCATCTCTACAGTTAAAAAAAAAAAAAAAAAAGGTGCGTGCCTGTAGTTCCAGCTGAGGTGGAAGGTTTATCTGAGCCCAGCAGGTTAAGGCATCGGTGGCCGTGAGCATGCTACCACACTCCAGCCTGGGCAACAGAGTGAGACTCCAACTCTAAAACAAAACAAAACAAAAAGAGACCAAAGCAAAAACAAAACAACAACAAATATATATATATACATGGGAGCTGAATGTGGTGGCTCACGCCTATAATCCCATCACTTTGGGAAGCCAAGACGAGAGTATTGCCTGGGCAACTTGGTGAGACCTTGTCTCCACAATATATTAAAAAATTAGCCAGGCATGGTGGCTTGTGCCTTTACTTTCAGCTACTTGGAAGGCTGAAAGGGAGGATTACCTGAGCTTAGCAGGTCAAGGCTACGGTGGCTGTGAGCGAGCCAATGTACTCCAACCTGGGTGACAGAATGAGACTCCAACTCAAAAGAAAAAAGGAAATGTGTGTGTCTGATGAACAGAAGGGGCCTGGCCTGGCTCAGGTGGCTACATATGTGGCTTGAATTCTGAGTGAGGGTTCCCACAAATTTTGCACCATGACTGGGGGCTGTGCCCCCTGATCTGCACAGAGGTGTTGGAGGACTTAGGGCAGGCCAGGGCATGGCCTAGGCAGAAAGGTCTCTCTCTCTCCCTTAGTTCGTGTGGCCTAGCTTTGGGGGGTGAGACTTGGGTGCCATGGGCTTGGAGCCCCTAGGTGCAGGTCCTCCTCATTCTTCTCCCTTTCCTACTTAGTGAGTTGACTGGTTTGAGCCCCGAAGAGGAAGGCAGGATTCTGGGTCCTTTCTCTTTTCTCCCCTCCCCTCTCTCTCCCCCTTTTTTGAGAAAAGGTCTTACTCTGTCGTCCAGGCAGGAGTGTAGTGGCATGATCATGACTCACTACAGCCTTGAACTCCTGGGCTCCTCCTTCCTCAGCCTCCTGAGTAACTGGGAGTACAGGTGTGTACCATCATACCCTGCTAGTTTTTTAAGTTTTTTTTTTTTTTTTTTTGAGTTGGAGTCTCACTCTGTCGCCCACACTGGAGTGCAGCGACTGCTCCCGGCCACTGCAGCCTCGACCTGCTGGGCTCCGGCAATCCTTCCGCCTCAGCCTTCCAAGTAGCCGGAATTACAGGCATGCGTTACCACGCCCGGCTGATTTTTTATTTTTATTTTTTTTTGAGTTGGAGTCTCACTCTGTTGCCCAGACTGGAGTGCAGTGGCCGCTCCCGGCCACCGCAGCCTCAACCTGCTGGGGCCCCGGCGATCCTTCCACCTCAACCTTCCAAGTTGCTGGAATTACAGGCACGTGCTACCACACCCGGCTAATTTTTTGATTTATTGTAGAGATGAGGGCTCACCAAGTTGCCCAGGCGGGTCTCGAACCCACGGGCTCAGGCAATCCACTCACCTCAGGGTCCTAAAGGCGCGGGATTACACGCTGAGCCACTGAGCCCGGCTGATTTTTTTATTTATTGTAGAGATGAGGTCTCGCTGCCCAGGCGGGTCTCGAACCCACGGGCTCAGGCAATCCACTCACCTCAGCCTCCCAAAGACGGGATTACAGGCTGAGCCACTGAGCCTGGCAGTTTTTTGGTTTTTTGTTTGTTTGTTTGTTTGTTTTGAGTTGGAGTCTCACTTTGTTACCCAGTGGCATGCTCCTGGCTACCGCAGCCTCGACCTGCTGGATTCAGGCATTTTTTAAGTTTTTATAGGAATGGGTGTGTTGCTATGTTGCCCAGGCTGGACTCAAACTCCTGGCTTCCAGAGATCTTCCACTTCGGCCTTCCAAAGTGCTGGGATTATAGGCATGAGCCACTGTGTCCAACCATAGCTCCTTATTCTTTGTCTGATTGCCACTCTAGAGCCTCTGGCACACTCTTGGCCTTGATTTATTCCAGGCAGTGACAGGGATGTAGTGAGTTCCTTTTGCAGGTGCCCATGAGCTGTGCAAAGTCTTTCTGAGTGGTATCCCCAGCAACCACCTTGGTGGCTCCCATGTTGCCCGCGGGTGGGTGTGGTAGATGCCACTTCTTTTTTTTTTTTTTTTTTTTAAGTTGGACTCTCACTCCTTTGCCCACACTGGAGTGCAGTGGCATGCACGCTCACGGCCACCCCAGCGTTGACCTGCTGGACTCTGGCGATCCTTCTGCCTCAGGCTTCTGAATAGCGAGAACTATAGATATGCACTACCACGCCCAGCTATTTTAAAAATTTTATTGTAGATAGGAGGTCTCCCCAAGTTGCCCGGGCTGTTCTTGAACCCGCGGGCTTAGGCAATCCACTTGCCTCAGTCTCCCAAAGTGCTGGGATTACAAGCTGAGCCACTGAGCCCGGCTGGTAGGCGGAACTTTTCACGGCTGTGGCAAGGCTCGTGTGGACATGAGTGCTCTGGGGGTGGGGGGCGAGGGAGAGGCAAGTCCTGCTGGCTTCACTGAGGCTTTTCTCCAAGGTCATTGAGCTGGTCAAGAAGTACGGCACGAAGCAGTGGACGCTGATTGCCAAGCACCTGAAGGGCCGACTGGGGAAGCAGTGCCGTGAGCGCTGGCACAATCACCTCAACCCCGAGGTGAAAAAGTCCTGCTGGACTGAGGAGGAGGACCGCATCATTTGCGAAGCCCACAAGGTGCTGGGCAACCGCTGGGCAGAGATTGCCAAGATGCTGCCAGGGAGGTGAGTCGCCTTCTGAGGACTCAGGGTCTGGATGGGGTTGGGTGATGTTCCCAGAGGGTCAGGCTAGTGTTTCTGGTGGAGAGTTCCTAGGGGTGGGTACTTTGGTCCTGTACTCTTGTTCTCTAACTCCCAGACTTAGCTCCAGGGCTCCCAGAGGCATGCGTAGTCAGGAGGGAGTGGTGTTCTCCCCAGGAAGGCCCTGACATCCATCAGCTTAAAAGGAAGATGGAAGCCAGGCGTGGTGGCGCATACCTATAATCCCAGCACTTTGGGAGGCTGAGGTGAGAGAATTGCCTGAGCTCACAGGTTCAAGTCTAGCCTGGGCAACTTGGCAAGACCTCACCTCTACAATAAGTCAAAATGTTAGCCGGGCATGCTTGGTAGCTTATTCCTATAGTTCAGCTACTTGGAAGGCTGAGGCATAAGGATCGCCAGAGCCCAGCAGGTCCAGGTTGCGGTGGCCGTGAGTGTTCCACTGCCCTCCAGCCTAGGCAATACAGTGAGACTCCAACTCAGATAAATAAATAAATAAATAAAAGGACAGATGGTGATACAGTGAGACTCCAACTCAAAATAAATAAATAAATAAATAAATAAATAAATAAATAAATAAATAGGACAGATGGTGACAGGGAGTCCTCAGCAGGAGATTGGGAAGCCTAGATTCCAGCTTTCATCCTGTTCCCAAGTTGTGTTTCCTTGGTTGCCCCTTTCCCTTTTGGATCCGTTTCTTGAGCTGATATGAAAGGGGCTGTGGGTGTTAGGAGATGAGCTTTCCCCAGAAGGAAAAAAAGGACAAAAATCAAGTGGTACTATAACCTACTAAAAGGGCTATAATGACAAGCATCAGTCCTTGTCTCCACTCTGTAAGTCAGTCTACTAAAACAGACTCAGTTTTTTTGCGTTCTTCTGATACTTAGCCCCATCTTTATAAATGAAATTGTATTCTATATATTAGTCTTCTGCTGCGGGAGAAGATTTAGATATTTTAGACTTTCCCACCTCCACCATACCACTCTATTGCCCCAGTATTTTTTGTTGTTGTTGTTGTTGTTGTTGTTTTTTGAGTTGGAGTCTCACTCAGTCGCCCAGACTGGAGTGCAGTGGCCGCTCCTGGCCACCACAG